CATTCGCTTCGTATTTATTACAGTTCTAGCATTCTTCATACAGCTCGATCAATATGCGATTATTATTTTTGGCATGATTCTAATTTTAGTTCTTTTGTTCCTGTATTGCATACTTGCTTCTGCTTCCTGCTACATTCCTTCGCGCGCGGCGTCTCTCTCGCCGCGACGCGACAGTTTCGTTCCTACTGCCCCTTTTGCTTCACCCACATAGGAAGGAATTTCTATAAAGCATAGTGACTGGCATCAAAGCTCTGTTCAAATCGTACGCGTGAACGACAGCAGATTCCAGTGGTAACAAAGAGTGAGCACGTGCTGAGCAAGAATCACACCTTCATGGAAAAAAAGTAATAGATAATATTGTAAAGGGATGTCTGTAGCTGCCAGAACTGACAACCTTTTCAGGAAGGGGTCGTTTTTGACTCCAAAGTAGGATTCGCTTCTCCAGAAATCGGTGATGGACCCAGTCTACTCTCCATGACTGTAAAAGATGGGCGAACTTACGGAACTTCGCTCTTGGGGACGTGTTCCCACTTCTCGTTAACGACCAGCAGGATCGGTTCCAACCAAGATATGTTAAAGTACTCATATGAGACGAGCTGCCTAAGCCACCTCATCTTATCATCAGATTCAGTACCCTATGATCTTCTTCCGTTCAAGGCTGAAGCTTACGGACAAAAAATTGATTAACGACATTGAATGCGAGATCATCCGTCTCCTGTCATCGTTCCTAATCATTGGATGTCCAGGTAAAAAGTCGGAAACCCACCCAAAGCTGGAAACGTATCCCATATATCAACGGCTATTACCGTTGGAGGTCTCGTTTGTGAGGAAATACCTCTTCTGGAAACTCGTTCAAAGTTCCACAAGATTTTTCGTTTAACCCAGTAATAATCTGTGATGACATTCCCGAAAAATTGTAATTGAAATCATATGTACGTCTTCGAATAGTTTCACTTCGGTTTACATATTTCGTGAGTATCGATCCATGTTGGGAATGATTTTTAGCGACCGGCAATATGAAAGAGATTGAAAATTTTGTTCCAATGACCTTACCAAACTGAACAATGGCACTAAGAACATGACTTGGCACTGCCAAATAGGAGACAAAAGTTTTCCCGAATCACTTAAATGGGGTAGAAATTAGGTAGGTAAAAAAGCAGGTTTGCTTGTGATCACATGCGAACTCGTACACAGTGCCAAGCATGGCCTACCGGTAATGGGTACAAGTTCCCAAGCACCTTCTTCTCTTCTCTCAGCTACTTCCCCGCCCTCCTCCAATCGTCTCCTCCCCCAACCAAGTGGCGGACTTTGTACCCGATCCCCTTTGGACACAGGAAGGCATGGGACGCTTTCGCGGTAGTCGCATTGCCATAACCGACCACCAGACTCCCACACACATCGTTCGGGTACAAGATTCCATGAATTTAGCGACATTATGTAAGAAATCGAAATTTCATTCCAGTCCCCTTACCTTCCGCTCTCCTCATAACCCTATGCCATTTCCTTCGAAAGAATCGAACGGGAAAAAGGACGATTCGGTTCAACGACTTGCAACAACTGGAATCTCGTCCAGTTACCCATTTACTGCCATTTCTGTCAATGGTAATCTTGACTATGCCATACCTTTGAGTCCTTCAATATCTGACTGTCTTCTCATGAGGGTTTCTATCCCTTAACTTATCCGGTTCCTCGCTTCGTATAATTGTTTGTTTTTTGTTGTCGCCGTTCGTTTTTTGTGGTTGTTTGTAAACAGCCCGTAAATTCCTTTTTCAGCATCTCCACCCACACATGTCATTACTTTCGACACGATGACTATGAACACAATGAGCCCACGGTTACATTGGCCGCTACATGGCGGCACTGGGCCGCTGTTTATAGTCCTCTTCGTCGCTGGCATACTACAACTCGTCCATACAGAGAAATATCTACTATATCATGTTCAACCGAATGATGCTCGTGGAATGCGGGTATTACGGCAGCTACAAATGCTCGACCACAAATATCAGGTTGGTCAAAATAGTTTGTGTTGATACAGTACCATGGACTTTAATAGAGCCTTCACAAGAGGCAATTGCTGACGTCCAGTGAAAAGCACTTCTCCACAGGTCCTCTGTCGAATGTTGCGGACACTGTCCTACGTGACCAAGAAAAATCCAGTCATTTCATTAATTCCTCTGTCGGGTGGACTAAATGTCCGACTAGGTCATATATTTCGGGGTAATTCCTTCCAGCAGTAGAAGATGATAGCAACTCACCTCCAATAGCCAGCTGTGAAATCATACTCGGGAAAAAATTGCCGAAAGCCCATTCAGAGTAGTTGAATATGCTTACCGCAAATACATGCGAGCTTTTAGGAGTTGAATTTCTTTAATATCAGTAAATAAAGGGTTTGGTCAACAGTTTAGCCTCGAGAATTCAAATGGATCATCGTATTAGGGTTCATTATGCTCGGTCTTACCTCGATTTGCATGTTTTCGAAAAAAACACGACTAGCTCAAGTACGCTGACACGTTTGCGACTTAAAAGAACTTTTTTNCACCCATACCAGCGCATGCTCCGCCCACTATGAAAACTTAACCATCCTTCGCCCAAGGCGCAAATACGATTACGAATGGGTGTTGAATGGGGGAGGGGAGATGACTCACGCCCAAATGCTTTATCCTTTATCTTTCATGTTGAATCCAACGGAATTTCACGCATTTTGAATTAGACAGATCATCGTAACTCGGCTAGAGAGGCAAAACCATAACCAAAATAGCAGCAAAATATCCCCTATTGTGTCTGCTACTACAGGAATTCAGGACTTTCTTTATATTGTCTAAGATTTTTGAGTTTCAGGTTGATTTCTGGAAAGAGCCAAATCATTTTGGTGATTTTGCCGACATCATGATCTCATCGAAAAATGCTCTCGCTATGGAACATCGCTTTCGTAGAGCAAATATTACATACGACATTCGCGTACCAGATGTGGAGAAGTAAGTTCTCTTAGTCTCCTAGTAATATTACAAAAATACCAGGAAAAATCCTCGATTTCGTGACTGCAATAGCGGTGGTCGGACAGAATACCATAGTTCCCTGATATTTTTTGAGAGGTTATTACAGATCACTACAATTCTGAAATATCTAGCCTAAGAAAAATAATGGGAAGTTATAGTGCAGAATGGCACCAAAATGGCAGATGGAAAAAATGGAAAATCGGCACATTCGAAAAATGTAAGCCTTCAAAAAAGTAGCAAGAAAGGGGTTAAACGAGATTGTTCGGGTGTCTCCCACGTGAACGTGCTATTTGTCGGCGCCATAACACTTCACAGTAAGTAGACGAAGCCTTAACAAGGTCGTCATCACAGGGTCACTATCGGGTGTCTACTTCGGCCTAGCCCATTTTGAAACTCTCACAACGCTTTGCGAGGTAGTTCTCCTAAATGGCAATATCCCACGTGCTATCTTGGGGGCTACAGGTTTATACTTGGGGGAAAACCCATTATTATAGGGAACTGTGCCTTTGAGAAATGCTGATGAAACATTGATGCTTTGATCGC